CAGGGAACAGAAGCTTCAGAGAAGAAGCCTCATCAAAGAAGAGAAGTTCCTCCCAAGGAACAGAAGCCTCAGAGTAGAAGCTTCATCAGAGAACATGAAGACTAAAATATATTTTATATTCTAGGATTTATGTAAGTATAAAAGATCAATTGGCACTCGAAAAATCTGTGTGGAATTGGTCTAAAAGATAAAATATGTGCATGCTAGTTTTTAGGAAAACTGTTATCATTTAAACGTTTATCTTTTTCTCAATTTAAAAAGATTTTATTTTATTCCTTTTTCTGATTTTCGGAAAATATCTTTAACAAAATAAAATCTCCCATGTTTTCCAAAACTTGCGGCCTACTCTCCCATGTTCTTCTTTAGTCATGGTTTTGCACATTAAGGAGTTCATGGTTCCTTAATTCAAGGGACATGATCTTCTTAGTGGGTATGAGTAGTGGCGTGATGGATTTGTTGCACAAAGAGGTTTTTCCAATACGTTTATTGCTCTATAAATAGTCTTTGAAATCTGATGGAAATACTTACCCTTGCTCACATAAGTTTTCAAGCTTCAAATCGAGTCAAGTGTCAATTCCACACAAGTTCATTAGAGTGCTCTTAATGTTCTTATACTAGAGTTTGTTTTTCTTTCGAGTTGTAATTTGGGGAATGGGGAAGTTCGAGTGAACTTTGTGTATGAGAAAGAGAAGTGAGAAAGAGAAGAGAAAGAGAAGAGAGAACAGAGAAGTGAGAAGAGAGAAAGAGAAGAGAAGAGTAACAAGTTGGGTGACTTGTTCCTCAGGGTCTCAAGTTCGTAGAGGAACTTGAGTTTGAGTCGTTCGCTTGTAATAGGATCATTTGCCCTATTATAGTGAAGATTATTTTACCAAAATCCCAAGTGGTCGTGGTTTTTCTCCTTGTTAGGACCAAGGAGTTTTCCACGTAAAATCTCTCTTGCATTCTTTAGTTCCTTTAGTTAATCTTTCAGTTCCTTTAGCTAACTTAATTTTAATTCCGCAAAAAGTTTGGCTAAATTCTCATACTACAATTCAACCCCTCTTCTTGTAGTATTCTTTAAAACAACAATTGGTATCAGAGCCTAACTTCTAGGAAAATCAGGAAACCCTGAAGAAGAAAGGTCTTGGAGAAAATGAATACTCATGAAAAGCTCGAGGAAGGATACTCAACTCAGAGGCCTCCTATGTTCAACGGCAAGTTCTATACTTACTGGAAGAACCGCATGAAGATCTTTATCAAGGCAGAGAACTACCAAGTCTGGAGGGTCATCGAGGTTGGTGATTTCGAAGTCACCAAAACAAATGCTCAGATTGAGGTAATCCCTAAGCCTATGTCTGAATATGAAAAAGAGGACTTTGATAAAATGGAAATAAATTCTATGGTTGTGAAATTACTCCACTGTGGACTTGGACCTCACGAACACAATCATGTTATGGGGTGCAAGAACGCTAAGGAAATCTGGGATTTGCTGCAGATTACTCATGAAGGAACTAATGAGGTTAAACGCTCAATAATCTTATGTCTAAGTATGAAAGATTTGAAATGCAGCCTAAGGAAACCATTCAAGAGATGCTAACACGCTTTACTAACATCATAAATGAGCTGGTTTCCCTTGGTAGACAAATTCCTACAGATGAGCAGGTTAGGAAGGTTCTTAGAAGTCTTCCACAAGACGAGAGATGGAGAGCTAAGGTGAAATCCCTTCAGGAAACAAAGGACTTTACAAATTTCAATATCGAACAACTAGCAGGTTCTCTCATGACTCATGAGCTACACCTTGGAGTCAACAATGAACCCATGAGGAACAAAGGATTGGCTCTTAAGGCTGATGAGGAGGAAGACTCAGAAGTGGATGAGGACGAGGCTGCCCTAATTGTGCGAAGATTCAAAAAGATGTTTAAGAAAGGCCGAACCTCAAGGAACTTCGGGAAAAAGACCTCAAATCCAAAGCCTGACTACAGCTGCCACAAGTGTGGATCTCCAGATCACTTTATCAGAGACTGTCCCCAAATGATAAAGGGAAAGGAAAGGCTAAGGAATAAGGAAGAGAAAAATTCATCAAAGCAAACTATCAAAAGTCAGACATGAGGAAGGCCATGATAGCAGCCTGAGGAGACTCAGAAAGTGAAGAAGAAGATGATGACCAACCAGAAAATGAGACGGCCAATCTTTGTTTGATGGCCAAATCAGATGATGAAAAGGCTCCATAAAGAGGTATTTCTTGATCCTAAACAGCTTAAAACTCTCTCTAAAGATGTCTTGATAGATATATGTCTAGAAGAAGAAGAATTCTTTAGAGATACATGTGTAAAGTTGAACAAATGTGAAAAAGCTCTTAAGGTTTGCAAAGAACATGGTGCTTGGTTGGAAACACCCTATGCTAAGTCTCAAAGCAAATTAAGAGAGCTTGATTTTAAATACAAACACATAACTGAGATAGCTGATAGAATTAAGAATGAAAGTATTCTTCTGAATGTTGAATTAACACAGTATAAACTCATAAATTCTTATATCAGTTCTAGCAGTTCCTCAAGCGATCAGTTGCTTAAATTCAATTTTGATTTTGAAAAGGAAAAATTGCTTCCATTAATCTCAACTTTGCCTCATCCACCGATATTAATCCCAACTTCAGTTTATTATCTATCACTCCGAACTTTGGGGGTGATTAATTTTTGTTGCACCCATTTAACCTGAAACCGGATTAGAAGGTAACCTTTTAGGGGGTTGAGATGTTTCCCTCCCTTGTTACTGCCACGTCAGCTTTCCCTCCCAACTACTCTCTGTACTCTCTCTGCTATTCCCTCCCTTTCATTTACTTCTTCATTATCTGCAACAGAGCATCGAAAAAAAAAAACCTCAAATTGACTCCATTATTGAAGCTTCAACCACAATTGTACTTGGGTAAACGTGTCGATCTTCGATTTCTGAGAAGGAGAAGCACCACGCGTTCTTGGGAAAGTTTCGAACTTCTATTTTAGGTAAGTTTTTGAACCCTAATCTTTAGATTGAATTATGCTGAATTTGTGCTTAAATTACGCATCTTTTCCTCAAACCCTAATTAATTAAACTGGGAATTGATTAATTTGAGTAAGGATATGCTATTTGTTTGTTAATTATGCATGCGAATTGTTGTGGGTTTGTAATACTTGGTGTTTTGTTGTTGTTGGTTTGATTGTTTAAATTCGAACCCTAAATGCTTTGATTTAGTGTAGTCTTGATTGTAATGTAATTGATGTTAAATTAGGTATGGCTGCAAATAAATTTACCTTGAAAATGTGGCATGGAGGAGTGTTTCAACATCTTGACAATGGTGAATTGTGTTATATGAATGGTAAAGGTAGAGCCTTTAATGTAAACCCTGATCAATTGTGTGCTTATTATCTGTTGGAGTTGGTTATGAGGTGTGGAAAGTATAAGGATAGAGTATAGGGGTTTATGTACTTAATTCCAGGAGTGAGTTTGAAAGGTGGGTTGAGGAGAGTTGATGATGATGATAGTATGAGGGAGATGATAGATTGTCACTAAATAATAGGGTTGTTGATGTGTATGTTGTGCATGGTGAAAATGACCCAATACTCTTCCCAACAGAAAAACAGCCTACCTCATCAAAAAACCCCAAAACTGTGAGATCCCAAAAACTACCTGTAAAGAGGGGACCACCAGTGAGAGCAAGTCCAAGGAACAAAAGTCAGCCTCCCTTGACTATTTCTGAACCTTCCCAAAATACCCTTGACATGTCATGAAATGAAAAAGAAGATGCTCCCAGTCCTTTTGTTGCCATTCCACCTACCAATACTATACCCAACTAAAGTAGTGTCAAAGTTAAATATGTTATAAACCCTAATTCAGGCTTGGAAAAAGCATATCCCACAGCCTCTTCCTTTCCTTCGGCTTCACAAATCAACTCTGAGCTTCTGAACAATTATGAATGGGAAGATGCAAGACCTGATAGCCCTATTCCTTTAAATGAGCTGATCCCAACTGTTAGTTCTGAGAGTGATAGAGAAGATCCACCTTACCAGCCACCAGAACCAGAATTAGAGTTAGACAAAGGGAAAGGGCAAGCTACAGACAAAGGGAAAGGGGCAGAGTCATGCAAAGGGAAAGGGGCAGCTGTAGACAAAGGGAAAGGGCCTTTTTTTTTTTTTGGTGAAGTGTACTCAGATGAGGATAGTGATGGTGCAGAGGATAAGATTGGGGAAGAAGAAGATCCTGGTCAGGGTGATGATCTGGAAACTGAAGTAGGGGAAGAGGTGCAAGGGTTGGATGACTTAGAGGTAGAAGAGAGGGAGGACATATTGGATGAGGAGGGTTATTATGAGTCAGAGACTGAGGATGAGGAGTACAGTTTAGCTAGGCAAAGGGTTAAATATGCAACAGCTAAGTTAATTGACAATGCTAGGAGAATCCAAAAGGAGACAGTTGAGTTGCTGAATATAGACAAGGAGGGAGACCAAAGGGTAGAAGTTGGTAAGGGGACAACAACTGAGGTTGGTGAGGGTTGTGGGCCCCAGAGTTACTATGAGCAGAGTGATGAGGAGGTGCATACTCCACCTGACAGTGGTGAAGAGGAATTGGAACCAGGAAAGAAAAGAAAGGCCAGCAAATCAGTGACACTTGCACAAACAGATTTTGTGACTTTTAATTGGGAAGTAGGGCAGAGATTTTATAACAGAGTTGAGTTTAGGGCAGCAGTAGCTAAATATAGGATTTTGCAGGGTAGGGATGTATATTTCAAAGTCAGTGATAGTGGAAGGAAACAAAGATTAGGTGTTTGCTGTGTTGATGATTGCAAATTTTATTTGTATGCTTCATGGGACAGTAGGAGAGCTTGTATAGTTGTTAAGACTGTGAAAGGTGAACATTGGTGCCAGAGGAATATGAAAAGGAATAGGCAGCTGAAGTGAAGTTGGGTAGCTGGGCAGTTTCTTGAGGTTTTCAAGACAAGGCCTCATTGACCTGCAAAGGAAATTCAAGAGTGTGTAAGAAGGGCTTTCAAAATGTTGGTGAGTAGGGATTTTTCATACAAGATCAAGTACCAGGCACATAGAATGTTGCATGGTTCTATGCATGACCATTACAACAAGCTTGGGAGTTACATGGCTGCATTGCATAGAAGCAGCCCTGGTACTAGGTTGGATTTAGTCACAGATTGTGAGAAAGAGCCTCCAATTTTTAAGAGGCTCTTTATATGCTTTGAAGGGTTGAAGGTGGGGTGGCAGGAGGGTTGTAGGAAGATGCTTGCAGTAGATGCATGCTTCCTCAAGACTTTTTTGGGGGGTCAGCTTCTGTCAGCTGTGGGGAGAGACAACAATGACCAGATGTACCCTGTCTGTTGGGCCATTGTTGAAGGTGAGAACAATGACAGTTGGGAGTGGTTCTTCAAGAAAATGCAGAGCACTCTATATCTGAAGGATGGGGAAGGCATGACAATCATCTCAGATGAACATCAGGTTTGAACCATCTTACTCTCATGCTACTTTGCTTACTTGCATTTGTTTGAGATTCATGTAAACATGTTTAACTTGTGGTTCATGTACAGAGCATCTTGCATGGAGTGTCAACTGTGTTGCCAAATGCAGAGCACAGGCACTGTGCAAGACATATCTTTGCACACTGGCACAAGACATATAGGGGAGATGAACTGAAATTGCTTTTTTGGAGGATAGCTAAAGCATACAACATGGCTGATTATGAGGAGAACCTTGAGAAGTTAGGAAAGGTGAATCTAGATGCCATGAATGCTTTCATTGCCCACAACCCCAAGCTGTTTTGTAGGGCTTTCCTCAAACCTGACATTAAGACAGATGCCATTACAAGTAATATTGCTAAGACTTTTAATGGCTTTATCATACAAGCCAGGACAAAGCATTTGTTGTATTACCTAGAGGACATCAGAACAGCTTTAATGCAGAGGCTAGTGGTGAAGAGGCAGACAATGATGAAAGCCACAAGCATGCTGTGTCCAAGAATTCAAGCAAAGTTGGATATTGAAAAGCAAAAGGCAGCTGAATGTGAGGTCATGCCATCATCTGAGACCTTATTTAATGTCACATACTACTTGGACCAGCTAGTGGTGAACTTGGAGACAAGGAGCTGCACCTGCAGGAAATTGGATATGCTTGGTATCCCATGTTGCCATGCAGTGGCTTCTATTTATTACATAAGACAAGAAGCTGAGCAATATGTTGATCAATGCTACCACAAGGCAACCTATCTCAAAGCATATGCAGGTATAACACTAACTTTTCCTTTTATTTTCTATTTACTTAGGCTCTTAGTCTTGTATTTATTATTTTGGGATGTGGTTGTATGGTGTAGGATCTATCCCCCCATGTGAAGGGGAAAGACATTGGCCTAAGGTCTCCCTGCCAATTGACCCACCCCCAATTAAAATTGGACCTGGGAGACCTAGGAAGAACAGGATCAAGGATCCTTTTGAAAATCCAAAAACGGCAAGAACCATCACCAAAAATGGGGTTGAAATGACTTGCTCCCTATGCCACACAAAGGGACATAATAAAAGGAAGTGTCTTGAGAAAGACACTAGGCAACCCCCTCCCCCACCTGCTAAGAAACCAAGAGGGAGGCCAAAGAAGCAGATTGTAGTTGCAAAAGCTACAGCAACTGCTCAGGCTGCACCATCTACTGCCCACCACTCAATGACAGTACAACCTACTCAACTAGGTAGAGGTGGGAGGATTATTCACATGGGAAGTGGTTCAAGAGGTGGCAGGGCAGGCTCTAGCTCTGGTAGGGGTTCTAGTGACGCAAGTGGATCTGGTGCTGCAAGGGGTTCTGGTGCTGCAAGGGGAGCTACTGCAGCTAGGGAAAGGGGCAGAGGTAGAGGCAGGAACTAGCTACCTGTTGGTGTAGGTGTCTTGTTTGCACCTCATGGGTCAGCAATAACTTCAGTAAGTGTATGAGATTGTAACTTTTTTTTTCCAAACACTAAAGCCCATTTTCTGATTTATTATGGTTTGCCTTGTTTGCATACATCAAGGCAGCTGAGATCAACAAGGTCCAGGTCAGGGGCAACTGGAGAATCTGCAAGGCCAGGGCACAGATCAGCTATGGCTTGGTTCCAGATGAGTGAGTCAAGCCAGACCTCAACCCTGCATCAGCCTACTCAATAGTGGATGGATGTTTGACTTAGGCATAGTTAGAAAACTCTGTTTTAATCAATCTTTTGGGTGACATTGTTGTGTTGTCTTATAATTTGCAAACAATGTTTATGTGTAGTGTATTTTGCAAACATTGACTATCACTTGTAATTTGCACTATTAGTGTCTTTTGGAAACAATGACTATGAATTGTAATATTTTGCACTAAGCAATTACTTATGGATTATGAATTTCAAATCATATTCACAACATTGTTTATTTATTCATTACTTGAGAATTATACATTAGATTGTTTAGGTGGCTGATAAACAACAACTAACATAGCCCCTAAATAAAGCCACCTAAACCACCATCAGCACTACATAATCAAGTTCAACATTTCAAATAAACTAGAAACATTGCAAAGAAAATCCAAGACACAAAGAGTGCAAACGAGAAATTTTTTTCATTCCTTGTAGCCTTCATTAGCTCAATTCTAGTTTGGGAGAGCTCCATTTTTGTATCACTCAACTCCTCTGTCTTCATGTCCAATTTCTTCTCCACAATATTCAATTTCTCTTTCATGAAATCAACTTCCATCTCTTTCTCATCAAGAGTGGTGTCTTTTTCAAATAGCTTAAATCGCAATTCAGCATCAACTCCATTCGATACATTAACCCACTGGAAATATCCACAATCACCAACCTGCAAAAGTTAAACCCCCAATTCAATTGTAATTACAAACCCTAATTCATATAATTCCACACAATAATTGTATATGAATGACAAATTCAACTCACAGGCCAATTAGGGCACCCAAATAACTTCATCCATGCGTTATCACCACTTTTCGCCATTCGCACCACCGCAAATGCCCCACATCTGCACTTCACTCGTGAAGAAATCAACCCACCACCCCTTGAAGAAGAAGATCCAGTTGACATTGCGCATAAATGGTGAAAGTCGTGAATGTTTACAGAGAAAAAGGGGAGTAAGAATGGAGAATGGGGTCTTTCTTTAGAAGAGAAAAGATACAGGGGTCTTTGTTTAAGAGAGAGGAGGGAAATCAAAAATAAGAACCGTTGGAGATGCCACGTCAGCAATTTACTGGCTACAGTAGGTTGCTTAACTTGTAGGGTGCAACGAAAATTAATCACCCCCAAAGTTCGGAGTGATAGATAATAAACTGAAGTTGGGATTAATTTCGGCGGATGAGGCAAAGTTGAGATTAATGGGAGCAATTTTTCCTTTTGAAAATTTAAAAAATGAGCTTTCTACTTTAAAAACCCAAAAGGATCAACTTGAATCGGAACTGCATGCCAGAAAGGATAGAAGTATTGACCCAAAAGTCATACCTAGGTGGATAGTTGAAGCTCAAGGAAAAAGAACTAAAGGCCTTGGCTATATGACCAAGAGGAAAGGTAAGCAAAAGAAATATGTTGAGCTTCCTAGCATGAAGGTATGCACTTTTTGTGGTAAGACTAGACATCTCTGTGGACAGTGTAGGATAAGAGAAGAAGCTGATAAAAGAAATGTAAAACAAGTGTGGGTTAAGAAAACTGATATTGCATCCACGTCTAAGGAACCCAAGGAAACCTGGGTTCCTAATCCTAATGCTTAGTTTTCTTGCAGGTCCTATTGAGGGGGAACAACTCATGGTATCTCGACAGCGGTTGTTCAAAGCATATGACAGGTGATAAATCAAAATTCCTCTAACTAGAAGACTACCCTGGAGGAACAATAACCTTTGGGGATAATAAGAAGGGCGAGATCATTGGAAAAGGCAAAATTGGAAGATCTAAATCTCATTCCATTGATAATGTGTTCCTGGTCGAGGGCTTAATGCACAATTTGCTCAGTATATCACAATTCTGTGATAAAGGAAACTCTGTACATTTTACGTCTGACTCTTGCAACATCATCAACAACAAGTCAGGAAAGGTTGTTCTAGAAGGAACAAGAAGAGGGAACACTTATACAGTTGACCTCAACTTAATCCCAAGGAACAACCTTACATGTCTGAGTGTTGTTGAAGATGATCCCCTGCTATGGCATAAACGTTTTGGACATGCTAGCTTTTCATTACTGGACAAGCTGGGGTCAAGGAACTTGGTTGTGGGACTTCCTGTTATCAAGTTCCTACAGAACAAAGTTTGTGATGCATGTGTGAAAGGCAAGCATGTTCGTTCATCTTTTAAATTGAAGAAAATGGTAAGCACTTCAAAGCCTTTGGAATTAATCCATATGAATTTGTGTGGTCCCATGAGAATTCAAAGCAGGAGTGGCAAGAAATATGTTTTGGTTATTGTGGATGATTATTCTAGATTCACTTGGGTTATTTTTCTTGCAAGTAAAGATGAAACTTTTAACGAGTTTGTTGCCTTTGCCAAGAAAATACAAAAAATCAGTGGTCACTCTATAGTACATCTCAGATCAGATCACGGAACTGAATTTGAGAACTCAAGGTTCGATGAGTTTTGCAGGGAAAATGGAATGAATCATAACTTCTCAGCTCCAAGGACTCCCCAACAGAATATAATGGAGTTGTAGAAAGGAAGAATCGAACCCTTGAGGAAATGGCTAGAACAATGCTGATTGCAAGTGGATTGCCAAGGAACTTCTGGGCTGAAGCCGTGAATACAGCATGTTACATCCTTAACCGGGTAACAATCAGAAGTATCATCAACAAGTATCCCTATGAACTATTCAGGGGAAGGAAGCCAAACATATCTCATCTTAGACCCTTTGGTTGTAAGTGCTTTGTACATAATAATGGTAAGAAAAACCTAGGGAATTTTGATGAAAGAAGTGAAGAGGCTATATTTCTAGGATATGCCTTTGATAGCAAAGCTTATAGAGTTTACAATAAAAGCTCAATGTGTGTTAAGGAAAGCATTCATATAATCTTTGATGAAGTTAACCAATTTGTGAGTGTACAGGAACAAGAAGAAGATAATGATTTTGAAATTGGATTGATAAGAGACAGGGATGAAGAAGAGACTTAGAAGCAAACCAAGGAAAAGCAGCTTACTCCAGAAGAGGATCATCAAGAAAATGGAGAGGTTCCTCAACCCGATGAACAGGTAAATGAGGAACAAGCAGAAGAAGCAGGAGGAACAGAACCAGAAGCTCCTCAAATTGGAGTTCCAGCAAGGGAATTTCAACTCAGGCCATTCAAGTATCAAGGTTCCCATCTAACTGATCTCATTATCAGTGATATAGGAAAAGGAACGCAAACAAGATCACAAATGAGGAACTACTGTGCATTCCATGCTTTTATGTCCATCCTAGAGCCAAGAAATCATCAAGAAGCCTTGGGAGATGCTTATTGGATAGTGGCCATGCAAGAGGAACTCAATGAGTTCGAAAGGAACAAAGTCTGGCACCTTGAGCCAAAGCCTAAGGGAAAGAAAGTTATTGGGCTCAAATGGGTGTTCAGGAACAAGCTTGATGAACATGGCACCATTGTAAGGAACAAGGCTAGATTAGTTGTGAAAGGCTACAACCAACAGGAAGGTATTGATTTCGATGAAACCTTTGCTCCTGTAGCTAGATTAGAAGCTATTAGAATCCTAGTAGCTTTTGCTTCTTTTATGGGTTTCAAACTCTATAAAATGGATGTGAAATGTGCTTTTCTTAATGGTTTCTTAAATGAGGAGGGGTTTGTTGAACAACCTCCAGGTTTCGAAAATCCAAAATTTCCAAATCATGTTTTTAAGCTTGATAAAGCTCTATACGGGCTTAAACAAGCTCCAAGAGCCTGGTATGAAAGGCTTTCAAAGTTCCTACTGAAAAATGATTTCAAAAGAGGAAAAGTAGACAAAACTCTTTTTCTTAAATCTTGAGGAACTGATTTGTTAGTTGTACAGATCTATGTAGATGATATTATATTTGGTGCTACTAACAATGGTTTGTGCAAGTACTTTGCTGAGCTAATGGGTGGTGAATTTGAGATGAGCATGATGGGTGAATTAAATTTATTCCTTGGACTTCAAATAAAGCAAACAGCTGAAGGAATAATGATTCACCAACAGAAGTATATCAAGGAACTTTTGAAGAAGTACAACATGGAGAATGCCAAGACAAATCATACACATATGGGAACAGCAACAAGACTTGATGAGGATCCACAAGGAACAAGTGTGGATCAAACCACTTACAGAGGTATGATTGGTTCATTGCTATATCTAACAGCCAGTAGGCCTGACATTTCTTTTAGTGTTGGATTGTGTGCTAGATTTCAGTCTAATCCTAAAGAATCACATCTAACGGCTATTAAGAGAATTATGAGATACCTCAAAGGAACATATGACCTGTGTCTGTTCTATCCTAGAAGTGATGACTTTATGCTTAGAGGATTCACAGATGCTGACTATGTAGGTGACCTAGTCAATAGGAAAAGCACCTCAGGTATGGTTCAGTTCCTTGGCTCTTGTCTAGTTACTTGGGCTTCCAAGAAACAAAATACTGTTGCATTGTCTACTGCAGAGGCTGAATATGTAGCAGCAGCTGCTTGTTGCTCTCAAGTCCTCTAGATTAAACAACAGTTGCGTGACTTTGGTATTAAATTTAATTGCATTACTATCTACTATGATAACACTAGTGCAATTTGCATATCTAAAGATCCAGTCCATCATTCAAGAGTTAAGCATATTCATATAAGGCATCATTTCCTTAAGGATAATGTTGAAAAAGGTTTGATTAAATTAGATTTTAGCCAAACTGACTATCAAATTGCAGATATTTTAACAAAACCC